GAGTTCGCGGACTTTGGCGACCTCCTTGATGACATAAAACAAGAATCAGATTGGGGCCCATAATATAGGGGCATGTATATCAATTACACGTTTGAAAATTCACCCCTCCTAAAAGCTGCACTTTAGGAGTGCTATACCGGGAAGCATTTTTGTATCGAGCGCCCAGTATACCGCATTCGGGTAACGTCGTATTAACCGAGGCCTGTCTCATAACGAGCGTCTGATTTCCCGATCGATTGTCAAGCTACCGTACGCTTGATACTAGTCTTCTGCGAAATTATGGATCGGCGTCCAACAATTCAGTTTTTTTTTTTTAATTGTTTATCATTTATTATGCACTGGCCAGAAAATTATATGTACCACATTGTCGATTCCAGCGAAATACGAACTAATTTCAAGACTAAGCAGGAAGTCGAGGTAAGGGAATAAGTAAGAGCAAAATTATGTTTTATCTACATAACCTTACCATGAATAGAATACCATGGCGAGATAGAATAAGCCACTTTCACGTTTTTTCGAAAACATTTTTGAATTATTGTGTTAGCCATTCTTCCAATGACATTATCATCTGTATACTTTTTTCTCCAAAAAAAAAACGCCTATTTTTTGAAATATGTTAGAACGATTTAAAAATCGAATTTTTAAAGCAGGTAAAAATTAACAAGATTTTTGCTATTTACTTAGGGATTTGTATACCTGCAATCGTTATTTGACAAATGCGGAGATTAGATTCAGGCAGATGTAAAGTAAATAATTATTTATGATGCTGTCTCTAAGTAACATAACTAACCAAAACTAACCCAAATTGGAGCTGAGCAAAAGATTAAGGTAAGGACAGCCTTAGGGTTAGTTTGGGATAGTTTGTTAGAGACAGCATCAAATAACTAGGCAAATAGCAAAATCTTATTAATCTTTAAGTTTTTTGCTACTTTCCATTCCACTTAGTGAACTACTAGAATTAAAATTGCTTTACGATTTGACTACCAGAACCAAAATTAAACTAATACATATTATCAAGTAGCTTGATGGTGAGGAGCCAGGAAAACTCAAAAAGATATTCGAGACTGTAGGCGCGAGTCGCGAGTATCGAGCATACGGTAGTCCGAGTGATTTTCGTACTACCGTGCGCTTGATACGTGCCGAGGTCGGATACCCCGAATGCGGGTTGCTGGACGCTCGATACAAAAATGCTACCGGGAATTCAAAGTTGGGAATAACGTTTTCTATCAGCCCCCAAGCCTTGGCGTGGGGCCTATGATACATGCAAAAACCCTCTCGGCTCTAGGTCTGTTAATAAATATAAGCAAATAATCCTTTTGTAGAGACCAATAGTTTATGGGAACCCTGTGGCCCAGAAATTTATACAGCTTGTGTACAACCATTTCATGGTGTCACATGAAAATCAAAATCCCATAACTGTAAGTTAATAACCATAAAATTATCGTTGATTGATCATAGGAACTTTTTCGTCTTAATATCAGTAAATGTAGTTACAAGTTTTGGAAGGGGATATTTTCGAAGCGAGTGGCTTTTTTAAATTTTTTATAAATAAATTGTAATTTACTGTTTCATTGCCCTTCTAGGAGACAGCTAAGGTTTTGAAACTGAGCCACACCACTGTCTATAAATATAAGGATGGTCCAGTTGACTCTGAAATTACCCCTGTCACACGGAAGCGTAAGAAGTTGCAGACAGCTGATTCAAGGGAAAGCGTCAAACAGAGCATTCGATCAGAAATATACCAAATGTATACCGAGAGTAAGTTGATGTTCTACTTTGAACATAGAATTGTTTCAATGTAACTTCATATTAACATTACCAGATTCAAAAAGAATACATCTGATAACATTGGAAATTCTCAGATCAAATTAAACTGTTTTTCATAATTTAATACTGTTTTTTATTTCAGGTCAACACAAATTAAGATGCTGCTGCTAGGATTTCTTTCATTCTATAATTTCATGACATTTCTTAGAACCATTGTTTTCTCGATCTTCAATATAACTGAATTATTGGAGTTTTTCATAAGGATAAGTATCCATATTCCCCTCTGACGTACGCAGCTTTTAGAAACTTGCAAAGCTTCTGTACCTGCATGATTCATCTTGTGTGTAGGGTTTATTGTTGTTAAGATGATTAGCATTTTGTGTTGTCATATTTCCTAGTGGTATTTGGTATCTCTAAGCATGGTAATTTCTAATTAAACTTCCTATTCAATGTATCATCTAATATTATGCATGTTTAAATTATTTAAAGGCGTAATGTGCCATCTGCAGGTGGCCGATGCCCAAGTTCGAATTCTTGGTTAAACGCTATAGGGGAGTGGACGTCAAAAGCCTGCCGCCCACGTCCCTGTCACTTTTCCTTTTTTGTATAATTTAGCAGTTTTTGTAATCTCACAGGTAATCGATTAATTGGTAGTTGAATTCTATTATGCACGTCTACTTGTGTCCGTTGTCTCTTGTAAGTGATGTATGTACCCGCGACCAAGCAGCACTGGAGATGGCTCAGGGCCGAAAGCGCTCTGCGGATTTTCTTAATAAACTATTGCACAGAAAACATACCCCTCTCTTCTGCAATAGTTTTTGGTCAACTATTTTTCATAATTCAATTACATGGAAAGGCTGATGTGACTATGTATATTTTATTTATAAAATTTAACTACTACAATATTTAAACAAGCTTTTTTCGTTTTAAGAATTGCATGTTACCCTTAAAACTGTAAGTGATCGGTTGAAAGAAAGGGAAATTTATCATGGTTCCCAGTCAAGTTTAGGCAGAATTTTTTCCACAATTGGATTTACCTATAGAAAGGATGATCCAAGAAGAGCCCTAATGGAAAAGCCTGAGGTGAGCCATCTGAGAAGAGTTTTCCTGAAGTCCTATATGGACAACGAAGCCTTAGGTCCTGCTAAGCTTCCATATGTGTTTCTCGATGAAACATGGATTTTTTCAAATGGATCCTTAAGGAAGTCTTGGCAGGATGAGGATACTCGTTCCGTGAAGAAAATCAAGGGTGATGGTAACAGGTATGACACTGTCAGATGAGTAAGTTTAAGAAAAAAAATACGTTTTATTTTTGTAAGCTAAAAAAGATGCAATCAAGTTAATAATATTATTTTCAAGGGAATTCCTAAGAGACTTATGTTATTATTTAACTAGAATAATGCAACATTGTGTTTCAGATTCATAATTTTACATGGGAGGACAAGATGGTTTTATCGATGGTTCCAGCCTGATTTTCAAATCAAAAACTAATTCAGGGGACTACCATGGGGGGATGAACAGCGAAAATTTTGAAAATTGGTTGCGAAATGTTCTTCTTCCCAAATTAGCGGAACCATCTATTATCATCTTGGATAATGCGTCCTATCATAGCAGGCTACTTGAAAAGTGGCCTGTTATGAGCTGGAAGAAAGACGAGATGCAGAGGTGGTTGGAGGCAAAGGCTATCCCTTTTGACCCAGCGTCCACAAAAGCAAGCTTGTGGAACATCATCCGACAAGTCCCCAAGACCAAGAAATCCTTTGTTGTGGACAATATCATTATGGAAGCGGGTCACCAGGTTTTGCGCTTACCTCCATACCATTGTCAATTCAATGCGATTGAAATGGTATGGAGTCAAGCTAAACGGTATTATGACCAGCTGATCCTTGAGCAAAAAGATGTCTTAGGGACATGGCAGAAGGCATAATGTGTCCAAAGACCAATGGGCACATTATGTAAAACACACGCATGAAGTAATTAGGGCCGCATATGACAAGGAAAAAAATATAATAATTCCTGTGAGCAAAGTGCAGCCCCTAATTATAAACTTCGACTCTGACTCGACTAGTGATAGTGAATAGTACAAACCCTGGTATAATTTTCTCATTATTCACCTATTCAATTTATCCATTGACTCGTTTTATTCCAGGAACTGCCTCGTTTATCATTTATAGAAATTAAGATGGTTCCTGTTCTATGCCTTTTGAAAGAAAACCCCACAAACCCTGGTATAATTTTCTCATTACTTATTTAATTTATCCATTGACTCGTTTTGTTTCAGAAATGGCTTCGTTTATCATTTATAGAAATCAAGATTGTTAATATTCTATGCCGTTTGAAAGAAAAGCCCCTCAAACCCTGATATAATTTTCCATTATTCAATTAATAATCATTTATTCGTTTTATTTCAGAAATTTTCTTGTTTATTTTTAGAAATTAAGATATCTTAATCGTACTTATTTTTGAAGCTTTTTTGCCAACCTCAGGAGAATTCTGGATGCATGGAATGCTTCTGTTTCTGGTTGATACGTTTCTATATCATTGAAACAAGACCTAAAATAATCAATGTTCATAATTAAAGTTTAAAAATAACAAATTTGTTTTATTTCCAAAGCCACGTGTTCCTTATAACCTGTCTAATTGATTTTTTGTTCTTGAAAAGAAATGCCGAAAATTACATAGAATTAATTGATGTTTATTATTACTATGCAGGATTTTAATAACTTAACTTCCCCTAAAGAAATTGATAATAAATTTTCATTCTGAAATGTAAATCAATTTTCTAAATACGGCCCTGTCGTTTATCCCACCTCGGAATCGAAGCGCTAACAAATGCTGGCAACCTACAGAAAAAAATTACTAGGATTGTCAAAGTGAATGTCAACTTTTTTTTCTATCGTGAATTTGACCATATCTGAAAGGCAAATAGGAGTTGGAATGCGGCCAGGTAATACAGAATTACCAATCCTACAATATTAGAGTTGTTTTAGACGAATTTGAACTGGCTCTATCAATTGGAAGAGTCAAAATTTAAGAAATATAAGAAATAATAGTTATTCATACACCAAGCGAGTTAAATGAATATTTATTCAAAAGAACAATATGTAATTATTGTTAAAAATTGAGAAAAAGATCAGAAACTATTTTGAAAAATCTAGGAAAAAGAATATTCAAACTTCTTGCAAGAACCTCATTTTTTAAGTGTACAAAACTCAAAAATTCGTTCTTTCCAGGTGCCGGCGAGAGTGGCAAAAGCACCCTGGTCAAACAAATGAAAATAATCCACGCCGACGGCTTCACTCGTACCGAACTCAACAGTTTCCGACCGACCGTCTTGGACAATCTCCTCTCGTCCATGAAATACGTTTTGGCCGGAATGGGATTGCTCCGGATCAATTTGGAACATTTAAGGAACAAAGTCCATGCCAGAAACGTTCTGGCAGCCGAAAGCTGCTTCGATATGAGTTTTATGGTTCTACCGGATGTTTCTGCTTCGCTTCAAGCCCTTTGGTCGGATCGTGGAGTCAGATTGGCTGTTGCCAGAGGTTATGAGTACGAACTTAATGATTCTGCTTTATAGTAAGTTGTATTATTTGACGATTTATCTGAATATCTGCGTGTGCTATTTTAACAAAAACTGTTGATTTATTTCCAAACTCTTCCATAGTTTATTTGAAAACATGGAACGACTGTGTGATCCAAAATATGTGCCAAATCCCACAGACGTTCTACGAGCCAGGGTGCGCACTCAGGGCATCATTGAAACTCAATTTCGTATCCAAGACATGATCATCAACATGTACGATGTTGGAGGGCAAAGATCTCAAAGACGAAAGTGGATTTATTGTTTCGATGACGTCAAAGCTGTCTTGTTTGTGATTTCTTTGAGCGGATATGACATGACACTGATAGTAAGTTTAATAATTGATTTCATTCAAAGTTATCATTGATTTTGTTTTATTTCAGGAAGATCCTAATGTCAATAGGATGGAAGAAAGCTTGAATTTGTTTGGACAAATCGTTAACAATCCGTTTTTCCGGGACGCTTCTTTTGTGTTGTTTCTAAACAAATTTGATCTCTTCAGGGAAAAGATACTTTATTCCAATCGACATTTGAGAATGTATTTTCCTGATTATAAAGGTAAGAAACAGAAATTTTTGGCCATGGAACTGCATTAAAATCCAGAGATAGCAATACTGTCTCTATGAATTAGTTGGCACCCTGTCTGTATATAATTTTTATTATAACTTCAAAAAAGAAAAAAAAGGTTCAGAAGCTTTGAGGGGAAAACCACCTTAGAATTTTGGTGTATAGGGTGGCCCAAATTCGAGCCTCATCATTGGGATCTCGGTAACCGTAAGAGATTATGGCAAAGTTGCGCAATTTTATGACCAATAGAATGCCGTTTGGAAACTAGAAAGATTCCGAATACTTCCGGAGATATTGGGAAAAAACCGAAATTTTGTAAAATCGTTTTTATTTTTTCCTGATGGGCTTATTTGAAGAGCAATTTTAAAATAAATATCACTTCATCATTGTCACTTTTTCCCCTTTAGAAGATGGTGCTGCTAAATTTAAAATTCGACGTTTCGTCTTCAGGCGGCCATCCTCAACTTCCTTTTTTTAAATACAGACCTGGATTTTTTATTTGCGATTTTGTCATCTTTGGGCATCCTAAAACCGATACTGTTTATAATTTTTTAATAACACGTTAAAAAAAGCAGGTCCGTATTTTAAAAAAAAAAATTGATTATGATTCCAGAGGAACGAAACGTTGGATTTCAAATTTAATACCGCCATCTTGTAAAGAAGAAAAAGTGACAATGGGAATATGGAATTAGTTTTTACAATTTTTTTAAATAAAATCAGGAAAAAATGAAAACTATGCGAAAAAAACATGAATTTCTCGTTTCTCTTAATTTTTTTCCCGATTCCATTTAAAAATATTTTGAAAAACTAATTTCACATTCCCGTTGTCAATTTTTCTTCTCTACAAGATGGCGGTTTTAAATTTGGAATCCAACGTTTCGTATCTCTAGAATTATCATCAATTTATTTTTTTTAAATACGGACCTGCTTTTTTTTACCGTGTTATTGAAAAATTGTAAACAGTATCGGTCTTAGGATGCCCAAAGATGACAAAATCACAAATAAAAAATCTAGGTTCGTATTTAAAAAACGTAAGTTGAGGATGGCCGCCTGAAGACGAAACGTCGAATTTTAAATTAAGTAAAGGGGAAAAAGTGACAATGATGAAGTGATATTTATTTTGAAATTACTCTCCAAATAAGTCCAGGAAAAAATAAAAACGATTTTACAAAATTTCGGTTTTTTCCGAATATCTCTGGAAGTAGTCGGAATCTTTCTAGTTTCAAAACGGCATTCTATTGGTCATAAAATTGCGCAACTTTGCCATAATTTAATCGACCCCGTATCTCTTACGGTTACCGAGATCCCAATGATGAGGCTAGAATTTGGGCCACCCTGTACAAACTTATAGAAGAATTTTTTTGGAATTTCTTAGAATCATCAGTATTTTCTAGCATTTTTTGGTATTTTTTTAGCAATTTCTAGAATTATTTAGAATTTTCAGTTTTTTTTTAAACACTAGTTCCTTTGAGTTTAGAATGGAATTTTATAGTGTTTGAAGCCAATTTCGAAAATTTCAGTCTCTTCTATTGATTCAAAAATTGAGTAGATTCACTCAACATTCAAAAAGCATCTGAAGCAATTTTAGAGCATTCTAAGTCACTCTGAAAAAGTTTTAATTGTTAAAATTAACCAAACACTATTTCTAAATAATGAGTTTAGAATAAATTTTTTCTATTTTGGTGTCATATCGAAGTCTTTTCGACACTAAAAGTAGTTTCGAAAAGAAACTCTTTGTGACACTCCTTTTTTACTTATCGAAGGTTGGTAACACTGGCTGACTGATGGCCATCAAACTGTCATTCGCGATAAAGAATAATAGAAGATTTCTATATTTGGCATGTAGTGTTACCAACCTAAACATATGAAATCAGGAAATATGAGAATAAAATTTCCAAGAAAAGTTTTTTTTTTTAAATTAAACAATACCAAAATAGAAAAAATAGTATAAAATATTCGTTTCATAAGACATTTTATCGCACTCGCCCTTTAGAAAAGAAAACTCGCCTCCAGCTCGTTTTCTAATATAGGGCTTGTGCGATAAAATGATGTCTTATGAAACTTGTATTTTAATGTACTATTATAATAATGTTTAAAAACAATTCCAAAAAAGCCAGTCACTTGTATTGGTTTAAAAACTGACTAGAATTACTTTACAAGCATGTGAAGCAACTTCATCATCGTATTTTTCGCAGCTTTTGTAAATTTTTATATTTTTCGTGTTTTCTATGATTTTTTATATTTTTTTTATATTCATCGTATTTCTATTTTTTTACAATTATCGCATTTTTTTGGATTTTTAGCAATTTTCGTTAATTTCTATATCTTTGCCATTTTCGTAAATTTTTGTATTTTTCAGGATTTTTGCGATTTTTTGTAATCATCGTATTTTTCGGTTTTTTTTTTTTTGTAAATTATCGACATCGTATGTATTTTTTTTTTGCAACTTTCGTGAATTTTTGGATTTTTCATGTTTTTTGTATTTTTTTTTTTGAAATCATCGTAATTTTCGTAAATTTTTTTCGTGTTTTCACGGTTTTTTGTATTTTCCTTTTAATCTTTGTATTTTTCTGCAAATATGTATTATACTATTTTTGGAATTTTCATGATTTTTACAATTTTTTGTATTTTTTTTTTTTTTTGAAATATTCTTATTTTTCACAATTTTCGTAAATTTTTATATTTTTCGTGTTTTTTACGATTTTTCATATTTTCTTTGTAATCATCATATTTTTATTTTTTCACAATTATCACATTTTTTTGGATTTTTCGCAATTTTCATTAATTTCTGTATTTTTGCCATTTTCGTAAATTTTTGTATTTTTCATGATTTTTGTGATTTTTTGTAATCATCGTATTTTTTTCGCAATTTTTGTTAATTTTTGTATTTTACAATTTTCGTAAATTTTTGGATTTTTCATGTTTTTTGAAATCATCGTAGTTTTCGTAAATATTTATATTTTTCGTGTTTTTACGATTTTTTGTATTTTCTTTGTATTTATTTTCTTGTATTTTCTTGCAAATATCGCATTTTTTTTGGATTTTTTACAATTTTCGTTAATTTTAGTATTTTTACAATTTTCATGATTTTAACAATTTTTTGTATTTTTTTTTTGGAATATTCTTATTTTGCACAATTTTCGTAAATTTTCTTTGTAATCATCATATTTTTATAATTATTAAATTTTTTTGGATTTTTAGCAATTTTCATTAATTTCTGTATTTTTGCCATTTTCGTAAACTTTTGTATTTTTCATGATTTTTGCAATTTTTGTATATTTTTAGATTTTTCATGTTTTTTGGATTTTCGTAGTTTTCGTAAATTATTATATTTTTCGTGTTTTTATGATTTTTTGTATTCCCTTGTATTTTTTTTGCAAATACATATAGCATTTTTTTGGATTTTGCGCAATTTTTATTAGTTTTTGTATTTTTGCAATTTTCGTAGATTTTTTTATTTTTTATAATGATTTTTGCGGGTTTTTGTAATTATTGTATGTATTTTTGTTCAAATTCCGTATACAGGGTGTCCCACGGTGGATGGCGTATTAGACGTTTATGGAGAACTAAAAAGCGAATCATTTTGAAAATTTGGCAACCGGGATAAACGACCATGATCTACACTTTAAAAATATTTTTGACCATGCGGTGTTGCCGCTTCTACTCTAAACTAGTGGCAACATCACTATTTTAAATGGAACACCTCGTATTTAATTGCATATTTGGATTCTACGTAAAATTCTGAGCAGATTTCATGTGATATACCCTATACCTAAGTTCAACTGTTTTGGAAATATTGACAGTTGAAAATTGACTTTTTGCAACTTTGACAGGCTGTAAAACCTAATTGGTTAATTTTAGAGGAAAACCGATTTCACATTCCTATCTTAGATTTTGATAAACTATCATTTAACACCAACTTTGAACTTAACCAGAGATTAAATTTAACTGAAATTTTTAATCATGGATTTAATTCTAAGTTGGTGTCAAATGATAGTTTATAAAAATCTAAGACAGGAATGTAAAATCGGTTTTCCTCTAAAATTAACCGTTCAGGTTCTACAGCCTGTCAAAGTTGCAAAAAGTCAATTTTCAACTGTCAATATTTCCAAAACAGTTGAACTTAGGTATAGGGTATATCACATGAAATCTGCTTAGAATTTTACGTAGAATCCAAATATGCAATTTAATACGGGGTGTTCCATTTAAAATAGTGATGTTGCCACTAGTTTAGAGTAGAAGCGACAACATTGCATGGTCACAAAATATTAAAGTGTAGATCATGGTCGTTTATCCCGGTTGCCAAATTTTCAAAATGATCCGCTTTTTAGTTCTCCATAAACGTCTAATACGCCATCCACCGTGGGACACCCGTATTTTATGATTTTTTTGAATTTTTGTAATTGTATAACAAAAATCATAAAAATGTATGAAAATCACAAAAATTCAAAACAAAAACAAAATAGAAATAGAAATATGCACGATGATAACAAAGAAAATATTGGGTCTTAAAAAAAAAAACACTCACAGATTGTTATGATTTTTTGAACGTATGTCTTAGCAATATTTTCTGTTATTTTGTCAATGATCTTTAATGTCAAAATGGCATGTCAAAAATCCCGACCAATAAAGATACAGTAATGCGACATACGTTTTTGGCGTTTTTGTATTCAAAGCAATCTTTGATTAGTTTTTTTTTTTGAAGATCCGATATAAAAATTATAAAAAACACAAAAAATATAAAAATTTATGAAAATTGCGAAAATTCAAAATCTGTGTATGTTTAAGTAAGTTCGATATTTTAACAAAAATTCGAAAAAAATACGATGATTACAAAAAATCGCAAAAATAATAAAAAATATAAAAATGTACGAAAATGGCAAAAATACGGAAATTAATAAAAATTTCAAAAAATCCAAAAGAATGCGATAATCACGAAAAAATAAAAACACGATGACTATAAAGAAAATATGAAAAATCGTGAAAAATACGAGAAATATCAAAAATTGCAAAAGATACGATTATTTCAAAAAAAATATAAAATATTGCAAAAATCATGAAAAATACAAAAATTTACGAGAATGGCGAAAATATAGTATACAGAAATTAATGAAAATTGCGAGAAATACAAAAAATCGTAAAAAACACGAAAAATGTATAAAAATTAACAAAAATTGTGAAAAATACGATTACTCTAAAAAAAAAATACAAAATATTACAAAAATTTTGCATACACTTTGAATTCGGGTGATAGTACATTTTAAACTACTAATGACAGTTGTCAACTGTCAAATTGTAACAGGTGCAGATTTTTGAACCATTTCTTCGCAACGGATTTTGCTGAAATTTTGCATACACTTTAAATTCAGGTGATAATACAATTTAGAATACTCAACCTTTCAAATGTAATTTTTGACAGAGGGCGTCATATGCCTGCCCGATGTCCAGAATCGGAAACGTTATAAGACGTTGAAAAGAATTGACAGATGTTAACTGTCAAATGTGATAGATGGAGAGGTGGGCAGATTGTCAGGACTACCCCCGTCTTTGAAAATTTGCTTTTTTCAACAAATAAATAGAATGTACTTATTTTTTTTAGCGTAATAGCACACGTCGGATATCTACTAGTGAAAAATAAAAAGAAAAAAGATACAATATTTTTCAATCTTTTTGGGTTTTTTTCACTTTTTTTTTTGGATTTTTTTTCGACTTCTTTGTTTTTTTTTACACTTTTTTGGGTTTTTTTTTCTTCAACTTTTTAGGGTTTTTTAACATTCTTGGAGATAATTTAGAATTTTAACCTATTCCACATGCTCAAGAGCCTGTCCAATCTGTAGGGATTTTTGGGATTTTTTAAAATTTTTAGAATTTTTTGAAATAAAAATATGAAAATTAGCATTTTGCAGAATTTTAGAATTTTTGGTGTACGAAATTAGGCAGGTGGATTCTCCATCGAGAAGCTCGGTTCTACAAAAAAATGAAAATAAAAAATTACCTTGACCGTTTCCCAATTATACAAACACTATACATTTTTTGATACTTAGACTAGAAGAAATAGATTTGATCGTTAAATCATTCATAATTTATTGTCATTTGGTTTTATCTTTAAAAATCTAAGCATAAATGTCCAATTTTTAGGTCCTGATAAAGACGTAGACAGAGGTGCCCTCTTCATCCAACACAAATTTATCCTGAAAAATGGCGACTCCAGAAAAGTGCTGTATCCGCACTTTTGCACCGCCACTGATACAGCCAATGTACAAGTCGTCTTCCAATCTGTGATGGAAATGGTTATTTCCGCTAATTTAGGTCAGGTAACGTTACTTTGAAAATTCTTCTCTTGCCAATCGTGGATTTGTTCTAACAATGTGCAAAAAAAATGTTCTGATAGGTTTGTTTGGGACAAATCTAATACTTTCTCTAAGGATCTCTTATGTTTTGTGTTCAACCAACTAAAATAGGTGTTATTTTTGCCATAAGTAGACACATAACTAAATTAATTTATGTTTAAGTTTAGATTTTAAGTGCCTATTCTTGTGCTATCTGTGATAAAACGTGCTTTATTAAACGTTTATCACAAAAATCAAATGTGATCTTTATGAAAATCTGTGCATTATTTACTCTAATTTTTGTCTTGTAAGTGAATTGTTATTGTTTAATGTGTAAGTAATAAATGTCTTTGGATTTTTCTAAAATATATATGATTGTTTTTTACTACTAACCTGAGAAATAGTCATTATTCAATCTATTTTTCTGAGAAAAAATTGAATTTCTCTCTCTAGGTTAAAAATACAGGTTTCTGTAGGTACATAGGAAGTTATCATAAGCTGTTGATAGACATTTTCCACTAGCAGTGGTAAAAAAAAAAATTATATATTCCTCGGTAGAGAAAGTCATTATATACCTCACGCATCACGCATTATAAACCTCAACTATTTTAGGAGAGCCCTAACGATAAGTATTCCCTAAAATGATATTTTTACATAGAGAAATGTCAGTTTAAGGCATACCTATTGTTAGGGCTTCCCTAAAATAGTTGGTGGAAATGGCCATTAGAAAAATTAACAAGAAAACCAAAATTCAAGATCCGGGAATAGACAAAATATGAGATGGAAAAATTGAAAAATAAAGAATAAATAAATAATATACTTAGATAATAATAATATTGATAATAATACCTGAGTAAACATCAAAAAAATGTGCAAAAATATGGCGGCGGGGGCGTGGCTAACTTCTATAGATATTCATATTCAAAATTTGCAAGAATATGGCGGCGGTACCGAATTTCGATTTGAAAAGGTTAAGTCACTGTAGGTGGGCCGCGGCTACAATGCCTCTATACAAGACAGTGGCGACAGTAGAGGGACTCATTTTTGATTGGCTGCAGAATATCGGCTATGTTTTGTCGAAGGTTATTTGTGTTTACCGTTTGATTCTATAGAGATTTATGCAATTTTGTGTTAATATATTTTTGTTTTTGTTATTTGTGCGTGTTATTGACTATTTTGTGAGAAAAAATTAGAACAGAAAGAAAAGAAAGAACAAATAGATTATTGAATGAGTTCGACAAAATATGGTGGGTGGGCGGAGCTTAGGCGCTAAAGTTATTTGTGTAAAACCATTTGATCCTATGGAGATTTATGCAATTTTGTATTAATATAAATTTGTTTTTGTTATTCGTGCCTGTTATTGACTATTTTGAGATAAAAAGTTAGAACAAAAAGAAAAGAAAAAACAAATACACTATTGACTGAGTTTGGCAAATTATGGCGGGTGGGCGGAACTTAGGCGCTATTGTCGCCACTGTCTTGTATAGAGGCACTGTAGCCGGGGCCATTGGAAAGGGTTGAAAAGGAAACAACCAATGAAATACCTTGACGATACATAAACCCCGGAAAGGGGCGGGGCTCAACTAACCAATTGAATGCCCTGCTGATATCACTCGCATCTGATTGGAAAGAGGCGGGGCTTATATCCAACCTATTAAATGCTTTGTTGATATCCTTGCGTTTGATAACGAGTCAGCCACAGTCTTGCCAGCTTGACGGAATTATCCCATTTTTGCCTTTTACTTTTTCTTTTATTTAGGGTGGAGGGTGGGTATTATAAAACTGCTTTGAGAGTTAACTTGAAGTTAACTTTTTAAATTACATGTACCATCGTCACCAAAAGTAACTGGGACAGCATCACATTAGCTCTTGTCCTATTATATGAATTTTATTGTCAAATATTTGTCAAACTATGCATTAAATGCATTGAAATGAATGACAGTAGAATTAGTCCAGGAGATAATTATGCATTATTTGTGTCCCAGATACTTTTGGTGATGATGGTAATTCCAGAAGTTAACTTCAAGTTAACTTTCAAAGAAGTTTTATAATACCCGCCCTAAGTCGCAAAATTTTCATATTCAATAAAAAATTGGTAATTTTAAGTTTCTAGCACACGATATTGTCAACTAGCTGCTTGGGAAAGGAGGACCCGGTATTCAACCTTATTAATTTAATTGCCGATTCGATCGAATATTTATTGCAATTCAGCAATAAATTAATATAAATTGCGCTGCAAGCCGCAGCAAAGGTAGACTTAAACCAGTGCAAGTACCTCTCGTTGGAAAAGCCCCTCTGGAATTAAGTCTCCCCAGTGCAAGTACCTCTCGTTGGGAACGCCCCTCTGGGTATCTTCAGCCTTATCGTTGTCCAGTGCAATTACCTCTCGTTGGGAACGCCCCTCTGGACAAGGCATAAGGGTGACGATAAACTTATCTACAGTCCCCCAAGCAGAATTGACGTGTGGCCCCCTATAAGGACCCCAGTGTACGAAGGGTCATGTATCTTATAGGGTTAGCGTACATGTAAGGTTATATTTGGGAAAATATATAGCATATATTTTTATATAACCTGAGCGAGTTTCTCTCCATCTACCCCCAAAGCTACAAACCCCCCATGTCACCCCCGTAAAGCGGGTAGTTGTGACAATATGCAATAGGTATTTCTTTCTCTCCCTAGATTAATAATGAAAATAATGAAAAAATACTAGGTCAATAATGAAAATGACGTCATGACGCAAGGATATTTTCATAATGTAACAGGTTATTGGTTTAATTTCAGTGTCAAACTGTCAATTTTAAAAAAAGCAGGTTCCTGTATGTACCATCGTCACCAAAAGTAACTGGGACAGCATCACATTAGCTCTTGTCCTATTATATGAATTTTATTGTCAAATATTTGTCAAACTATGCATTAAATGCATTGAAATGAATGACAGTAGAATTAGTCCAGGAGATTATTATGCATTATTTTTGTCCCAGATACTTTTGGTGACGATGGTACATTATAGGAAATTATTGTAAGCTGTTGATAGAGGGCAGCACTTCCGACAAGAGAAAATAATTTGAGCACGTTTCGAACCTATTTTTTATTTTCTACTAGCAGTAGTAAAAAAATGTCTATACAGTAAGGGGCAGGCTACTAGGTATATAGGATCCAACTTGACGAATTTACCACCGTCCGCAGCCGTTTGAACCCCTGTCACTGTCGTTCGTTCAACAACTTTGACGTTTGTTTATTTCAGTACGATAGACTTAAGCACAGTCCAGACGCTACGGTTCAGCTTACTGATCAAAACGTTTTGTCTGCAACGTGTTTAACTGTATGCAGACAAAACGTTGTGCAAAACGTAGCGTCTGCGCCATGCTTTCAGATATTTCGTCAAGCTTTATTTATTTATAATTAAGTTTACGCGTGTAGATAGCTAAGCGTTGGTTATCAATGTAGACACTAGACACTTTAAGCAAACCCTAAATTTTCCTACGTATCCGTATACGCTTCTGTAAACGCATCGACTTACGTTGACCACCTAAAAGTCCTTTCATGGTCATACATTACTTAAACGATCGTATCCTTGGATGACACGTTTTCTAACGACAAAAAGTTTTGTTTTGATTTTGTAGCTGTGTTTGTAGGTTTTATTTTTATCTATAAGTACTGTGTTTATGTTGTTGAAGTTATTTTAGTAATAACTGACAGGTAGATCCCTCAATAGTGTCAAATGATTGAGATACGTTTTCGGATACAGATACGAGTCTAGGCTCGTAACGATACGGACAACGCAACGCAACGAGACCACCGTATTTACTATCTATCCTGCGTTAGATACGTCTGAAATTCAGGACCTGCTTAAAGTTTCTACTTGCTTATCCTGAATTTTTATATGTATCCGTCTCCGCATCGATCTGCGCACGCGCAGAATAGATACGGTGGTTTCGTAGTCCGCATAGTTAAGGCTCATCCTCAATCAATTTAGTAGCGAAGTGGCACTTCGGCACGCAAGCTAGGAAAATGTTGTTTAACGTTGGCATCCTCAATTCAATTCCGTGCTGGCATGCACGTCGACTCCGAAGTGAAGTTTGCAAACTGCCAGCTTTTTCGATGCGTGCCGACTTATGTCATGCGCAGTACGTTTAAAAATTAATTTAGGTTATCCTTGCGTTCGGTATTTTGCTCAAAGAGCAGAGTGGAGCCGTAATCACGTGACCAGCGAGCGCACAGAGCAGTTAAACGCTGTATCAGCGGGCTCGAAATGTTATTAAACGAACGTGAATGAGCCTGCACCGAGTACACTTTTTGAATAAACGAACGGTAAATTTATGCTCAGAGAACTCAGATCAAAATACCGAATGCACGGCATGTGACCGTACTACACGCACAGCAGACTGAAAATTGACAGCATTGAGGATGGGTATAAATTTTCCAGCACGCGTGCCAAAGTGCCACTTCGCTACCAGATTGATTGAGGATGTAGCTTAACGGGCCTAGTCTCGTATCCGAAAACGTATCTCAGCCATTGTGTCTTTAGCCTTAGTTTTTTGAGTGACAGGTCTTTTCACGTTTTGTTTTTACCTGGTTGTCATGAGTTAAGGGTCATTCACATCCACTTAACTTAACTTAAGATACGGAAAATTATAACTAACGTACGAAACTGAGAAGGTCTCTGTTAACAATGAAGTAAATTATCCTACATGACGTATGCGCACTTATAACCTGAACTGTCAAGTCAAATTATAGGTATGCACAGAAATGGAAATTATTATTTATTGCACGGATTTTCTTAAGTTGGTTCAACTTTTCCGTGTGTCACGTTAATTTTCTTAATTTTTAAGTGGATGTAACAACTATGTGATCTTCAACTTTTTTTTATTATTAATTTTCCGTACGTCAAGTTAAGTGGATGTAAATGACCCTTTAGCACTAGATATATTCGTCATTTTGCCATATGTGGACGCCTGCAAATTCGTCAAGTTATATCCTATATACCTAGTAGCCTGCCCCTCACTGTATATCCCTCGGTAGAGAAAGTCATTATATACCTTACGCATTATAAACCTCGGTATATAATTACCAACTTCTTTACCTAGATATATAATGTACTATTTTTTTTAGTGATTTTTTTACACTAGTTAGGCAATTGTCTTATTAAAGCAGGGTTGGATGGGACGACCGGGCAAATGTCCGGTGGGCCGGTATAACTCTGGGCCGGTCGTTCGGGGCGCAGGCTTGACGTGTCTTAGATTAATAATAAAATTTTAAAATTTATATATTTGACAAAAACATCATGAAAACTATCTCTAAAACAATATTAAGGCTGTGGTCCGAATATAACCAGGGTTGTGCATGGCCGGATTAAGCTTT